ATGTGGACTACATAATCATCTAACGGCACAACATTTAGAAGGACATCCCTATGTACAAAGATTGACTAATGAAGAGGAGCAGATTTTAATAGATATATCAAAAAGTTGGTAAAACCTAGGAATATATTAATGACTTTTGTTGATGTGTAATGTGTTTAGAAAGTCAAATATTTATTTATTTATTTTGTCTAGTCCAATGGCTGTAAAATAGACAAGCGTAGGGTTGATTTTATGTATTGTAGTAGGTTAAAATTTCACCTTTTATAATGTAAAAAGGCTGCTGTATAAAAGACAGAAAAATCAGATTTGCAGTGTGTTGTCTGACCTCTGTTTTCTCCAGCTTCTTCCCTTCTTGCTGCTGGTCCGTTTTCTGCTGTTTCTTTCACATACTACAGGTCCACAAAGCTGTATAAACAGCCAACAGAATCTTTCAATCTATTAAAACCCCATCTAGATTTTTTTATTTTTTATTTTTAGACTTAATAGTTCTGGAATTGGAGTGTAACATCTTGTAAGTGTTTAAAGACCATCTTTTATTATGTTTGAGAAAAAAAAAACCATATTATTTGGGAGATGAAAATTGGCATATTTAGTAGGAGCTCAATAACTTCGAAGTAACAAGAAAGCGATGTTTGCCGAACAAATTCTCTCATTCTCCTGAAAACCTTCCCCATTTCCTTGGGACTAGTCTAAGCTGCTCAAGTTAACCGGTTTGAAGAAGTGTGCAAACTTGTTGCTGGGCACTGATTTAGTTAACATATATTTGCTGGATTATCCTCAGATGCAATGCAATGTCCCTTAGCCACCACGTCTCTAATGAAATGAAGCCTTATCTCTATATGTCTGGCTCTTCCTTGAAAGACTAGGTTTTTGCACAAGGGAATAGAGCTTGGCTATCACAAAATGGTATCACCCTATGTTCTTATCCCAGTAATTCATAAATCTGCTGTTGCAGTCACACGCCCCTCTTTTACAGCCTGAATGGCAACTACATATTCTATGTCTGTTGTAAGAAGAGCCACAATGTTCTAGAGTGTTGATTTTCAGCTTACCAGATTTCCAGCAAATGTAACGGAGTATCGAGTCGATGACCTCCTTTTGTCTAAATCCCCGGCGAAATCAGCATATGTATATCCAACAATATTTGACTTGGAACCTTTATCCTTCTCGTGTAACAGAGCAATGAATGGAGAGCCTTTCATATCCTTGAAGATCCACTTTAATGCCTGGTCATGATCCTTTCCAGGGTTAGCCAGAACCTGCTGACCAACCTCAACACCTGAACTATATCTGGCCTGGTACAGATTATGCAGTGACGTTAGACTTCCAGTTGCATTACTTTAGGGATCATCTCCAACTTCTGCCTGTCTTATTTAGTTTTAGGTAATTATCTTGAAGAGAGTTTAAAATGTGCAGCCATAGGAGTGGACACAGGCTTAGAGTTTTTTATGACACGATACCTTCTGTGTCTTTCTTAGCCTTCTTATTCCCGTCTCTAATATTCTTTTAGCTGATCCCATCTCCTTCATTTCGATATTCACTCTGAAGCTCATCTTCACAATTTGAATTTCAGACATGCTTTTTGAAGCAATGAGCATGTCATCTACATATAGGAGTGAATAAATCATGCTATCTGTTTAGCCCTCTTTGAAGTACATAATATAACTTGAGAAAGAAGATAATGACATTCTTTTTATTAAAGAGATGGAAGTATTTATAAGTACATTAATCAAACCTAAACCAAATCATAAGATACAGATGATAAAGAGATTACATAAATAGAAAACTAACTCCTATCTATAAGATATACTCTACAAAGGTATATAAAATAAAAATTCAAATACACAACAACCAAGGCTGTCATGGTAATCTCATGTGTTCGAATCCTAAGAATGCAATAGAATTTGTGAGGGTAAGATGGGCTCAAGCTCTCTAGAGTGGAGAGTGCGTAAGTTAATGATTTGAGCACGGAGGCTAAGTCATTAAAAAAAATGAGCATTTTTTTTGTAATGATCTGAACCTCATCCCCAACCGTTCTTTTACGTATTGTCCGTTTTGAGAGGGAATATTTTTTCTTACACTTCACGATTTTCTACCGTGTTCCTTTAGGATGATAATCCATGACCTTCCCTTAAGAAGTCTCTCTTAAGGGAAAGGGCCATGGGTTTGAATACTAGGCACGCTGTAGAAATTTTTGTGAGGTAAAATGGGTTTAGACTTTTCTAAAGGAAACGGTACGTAAGTTAACGGTTTTGTTATAGAGGCCAAATCTTTATTAAAAAAATTGCACATATTTTGTAACAACCCTAGCCTCCTGCCCGACTATTCTCTTATGTACTATCTGTTTTGGGAGAGAATTTCCCTCTTACCCATCAAAGCTTTCTGTTGCATTCCTCAGGATTACACCACATAACCTCCCCTTAAGAGAGGCTTAATGATTCAACTTCAATCTCTCTTAAGAGAAAAGTCATAGGTTCGAATTTTGAGAACACAACAGAAATCGGTGAGGGGTAAAATGGGTTTAGGCTCTTCGAGTCATTACAATCTTTTTCTTGATATACAAAAAGAGAGATTAGCGTTTGGCATTGTATCTTGAAAACAAGTTTTTCAAGCCATATGAAAATTTTGAGTTATTACTCGAGTGGGGGAAAACACTATTTTTCATACAGTATCGTTGTTGATATATATCTTGCACATTAATTCTCTTTCTACATTTTTCGTTCTTTTTATTTTTTTTTGAAATTTTTCCAACAATTGTGTTACATTTGAAAATTAGTGTACATTGATGAAGATTGAATGTGGATGATTTTAATTCAATATAGGCAATTTTATCTATTTATTTTATAATTAGTTTAGTCTTTAATTAGTATTAGGACTCTTAATTTTCATAATTTTAATTAGATTAGGATTTTAATTTCGTTTAGAGCTAGTGTTTATCATTAATTTTATTATTATTATTATTATCTAAAGTTAGTGGTTATCTAAAAGTATAGTTATTATTTAGAATTTCTTTACTGCTTTAAATATAAGCTGTAAGCCTTATGGCAATAAATTTAAGTGCAATTTGGATTGAAGTTTAAATTGTTGAGTTCTCCAATTTCTTAAATTCTCGTATTTGATATTTGAAAATCAATGAGACCAATTCTCTGTATTTGTGCACGAATCAAAGTGCTTGATACATAAATTTCCAGTATTCTTAAGAATCAACAGAAACTAGAAAGTAGTCTTGTTTCAGTATTTGTTTGAAATCAACGAATTTTTTGTAGCACGTTCGTTGAACTTATCTTATCGCTTCCAATACACTACATCAATTGATATCAAAGCCGCTTTCATTCATGCTAGTGTTCGTAAATGACAAAAGTTATGATATATGATGATAACCTTTTTTATCCTTTCGATCTAAAGAAGTCGATGGGCAAGATTTTGATGAGAACTATGATGGTCCGCTAATTTTTGACAAACAATTTAAAGAATCTTTGGATTTCAGTTATGAAGGTCTTCCAACCTTTGATGAAAAAATTGAAGAATGTATAAATTTTTGTGGTTATAGTTATGACGTTTCACTTATTTTCTATGAAAAGTCTGATGTCAATGTCTCTAATAGATGGTCCAAAGGATTCATGGTTGGTTATAAGTGCCTCACAAGAGAGTCTTGGATCTTGAGATGCCTCTATAGTTCGAACTTCATCCGAAGAGTTTTCTTTTGTGTGCTTTAAAAATTTACAAAGTACATTGACATTATTACAAGACTTTGGATGATAATACAGTATAAGATTCAGGGACGAATCTTTGTCAATTAGAGGAGAATGATGAAGATTGAATGATGATTTTAATTTAATTTAGGCAATTTTATCCATGTGTTTTATCCTATTTTATGATTAGTTTAATTTTTAATTTGTATTAGACTCTTAATTTTTATAATTTTAAATAGATTATGGTTTTAATTCTATTTAGAGCAAGTTGTTATCTATAATTTTATTATTATATAGAGTTAGTCGTTATTTAGGAGTTTAGTTATTATTCAGATTTTATCAACTGCTTTAAATATGAGCCGTAAACCTTATGGCAATAAAATTGAATAGAAATTGAATTGCTGATATTTTTTCAATTTCTTAAATTCTCGTATTTAATATTTAAAAATTAACAATCCAATTCTATATATCCGTGCATGAATCAAAGAGTTCGATGTCTAGATTTATGATATTTTCAAGAATCAACATAAACTAGAAGGTGATCATGTTCTGATATTCGTTTGGAATCAACGGAATTTCGATAGCGTATTCGTCAATTACCTTCTATCGCTTCCGTCATACTACATCAACATTCGAGAATAAGTGAAAATTTGGACGTGAAGCCGGGCTTCCACAATTGTGTGATTACTCTGGAGTTGGTAAACATTAAGATAGTCTTAGTTTTGTAATTCTAATGAAGATTTTTCCATAATTTATGTCTTAGTAGTCTAGTTAAAAAAAAAACACCCCTACCTCCAAATGAGACTTTGTTGCTCTAATCACTGTAACTAGCTAGTTCTTACTTTCTTACTGTACTTGTTGGTCACAAGTCCGTGATATTTATGAGTTTGGTCTTTTCACATACATCCCGAGTTCTTTTCTAATCTTTCTTTTCATGTTAATTTCATTATAGTACAATCTAACTGGGGTGAACATTGACTTGCAAACGTTAACCCATAAAAGAGAACTATCAATATAAGTAAGACAATTCGAATTCTTTTAACCATATTAAGAATTTGACTTAGACATTGAGTTGTAGAGTTAGAGTGGAAAACACTAGTAATTAATTCAACTAAAAAGCTATTAGAATTTCATTTACAAAACATTATTTATTATTGCGAGTAATACAACTTAAAAGAGGATAGAATTCATTCTTACACCAAAGTTATCATAAGAAAGGCATTGTCTTGAATTTATTACATAATGTACCACATCATATATGACAGAATACATTTTTCTAACTATTTTCATACATAGATTTGCCCATAATTATGTCACGCATTTTTCAAAAATTACCTTTGTAATGTGGACATCAATGGTTTCTGGATCAAAAAAGGCCATGTAATAACAAGTTTTTGCAACCATTAGAAACATTTGCTTGACATAGGAAGCAATTTCATTGGATTCTTGAAGTACTAATTGCACTAATGCCTGCATATCAGTTTCAATTTCTTTGTATTTGATGCCGTGAGGTCCTTTGTCTGTGTTTCCCATTTCGTGTACCTAAACATAAATTGCTTCCAAATGAAATCAAGACATAATATGAAATAAGAGCATCGGCTAAAAGCTGTCAAAGAACACTAAAATATTTGTCTAAAGTTTCCTCTTTAAATTTTATTAAATATAGAACAAAAGAAAACTTAAAAAAAAAAACAAAACATTTTGGAACATCAATTCTATCGTTTTAAAAATTTCTGTGCAACCTAGTTCGTATTCGACAAAACTATTTCTTGGCATTTAGAATTATGTTATGTACCTTGTTATTTTGATATTCTTGAAGCTGATGACAGATTTTATTTGTGAGCTTGGAGAGCTTCTTGTATTCTGGATTTTGCAGCATGTCCTCAGAAACCATATAACCAGCACAAGTGTTTATTGTGTGTACTAGGAGCTCGGCTTCGTCGTTGTATTCAAGATCTTCATTGTTCAGTTTCGACAACCATGTTTCCCACTACATTATACAATCCAAAAAAGTACACCATCATTTATAAAAATAGTGCTCGTTCAGTAGTTTTCATTTTCTATGAATCAGACCTAAGTAAAAGCAAAGCAGCATGATGAAGATAAATTTTAGTAAATAATATTGAACTCACAGCATAATGCAGTTGGTGACTGATATTTGTGTCATGCCCCTGCAATGTCTCTTTTGAGTGTTGGTCGAGGGTTTTTAGTAGAATATCAAGTATTCTTTGTCCAGTCTCATAGCTGTCCATAAGAAGATATTAATCTATAATTCATAAAATTAATACTTGGATGTAAGATTTGATGACATTACTAAGGAAGAAAATAAGTGATTTTTCTTTTTTCATTATTATTATAATGTCCAATTTTGTATAGTACCACAATGCTAGTCTCTACTCATTAATTTATGTGGTTGCACAAAACTTATAAGTAGAGCAGTGGCCGATTGAGAGGGGGGCTGGATCCCAGCCCAGCCTTGCCCTAGCCCGAAAGCAATTTAGCTTGTAAAAAAATAGAAAATTTAGCCCAAATTTATGGTAAAAATAAAAAAGAATAAAATTTAGTCTAGCCCAAAAATTAATTTTAGTCCAACTAACTTCATTTTCAACCCAAGCACAATGTTCAATTATTCAAATTTAGTTTAATACTCTACAACAATTATATATTTATTTTATTCATATTCATGATATACAAATAACTCGTTACTAAATTAGATATTTTATTTCACACACAAATATATATATAATCAAGTTTAAAGAGTTTACTTATAATCAAATTAGTTTATTATTACATATAATTTTTATTGATTAAAGATAAAAGACTTATTTAAACAGTATGAAATGTAACGTGTTTGACTAAACTTAAAAAGTAATTAAAATTGTTTCTAATGTATTTTTATATATTACTTATTTATACTTGTGAGTTAAAATTTTATTTATTTCAACCATTAAATTGATGTTATTATCAAAATATGTAATATACTATATATTTAATTTTATTAGTTAAAAAATATATTTGTTAGAACTTTGTTATGAGTATCCAAAAATATATTTTGACCCACATTATTACGAGTGTCATGAATTTAACATTTTAAATTAAATTCGGCGTGGTATAGAGCATCTTTTATAGTACTAGTTCATTAGGGAAAAAAAATTAGCCCACCCTCACATATATTTCTGGCTCCGATCCTGAAGTAGACAATTAGGGATGCATAAAACTTATAAGTAGACAAGTAGAGATATTTTACCTTTTCCTTTTTCCTATGCCCTTGAAGTTTCTGAATTTCGATAACAAATCAATCCTTTCCTCCAAAGTTTTACTTTCTCTAGTGAAATAAAAAGTCATTAGTCTGACAATAATTTGAGATTTAGCCCATGCAAGTCTCACATTTGACCTCTCTGGCTCAAATATATTTGCAGCTGCCAAGAAATAGGCAAGAAGAATGTCCTTTTTACTTATCCCCAGTTCTTGCAATTTGCAATTTCCATACCATCTGCATGATAGATAATAATAATAGTAATGAGTTGCATAGTTTATTTTAGCAGTAGAATAAGTGTTATTATTCAACATAAGTAATTTTTTTTACAAATTTAACCAATAATTTTTTTTTTTTTTTTTTTTTTGTCAAACCTTCTTATCTACTTATAAGTAAAATTTTAAGCAAAGCGAAAGATTTACTTACTCTTCTAAAATGTTCCATTCCCTTTGATGTTGTGCTTGGCATCTATTGAAATCCAATTTTGCAAGCTCAAGATACTTATTGTTGCTAATATCAGGCATCCTACAAACAAATTGCAAAAACATGTCTTAATCTAAAGTAATTATAATAATTAATAACAAAAAGTATGAAAAATATATAAAATTAATTAATCCACTTCTAAATTATAAGTTACCAAAAAGTTAATTAACCTGTACAATGTCTTGCTAATCCAAACATCATCTTCACCACCATAATGCTCTATATAGTATTTAGCCTCCACACGAGGTAGGCTGGCATACCATGGCATTTCCAATCCTTTCCTTATCTGTTGTCACATATTTTGTTCGTTTCATATTTTAGATTACGAAGTAAAAAATTAAAATAAAAATAAAAAATTGGCCGAGAATTTTTTTTTTATTATGGTCATTTTTATATCGATATTTAGCAATATTTCAATGGTTACCTCATTGGGAAGGTGCTTCGATATGACCCATTTATCTAAAAATTTATCAGACGCTAATCTTTCTTGTAAAAAATTGTAAGAGAATTCTTTTGCTTCTTCCAGAACTTTTTCTCCTGGAAATTGAACCTGCGAAGCTCTGTAGAGATTGTATATAGGGGTTGGTGACTCAATCATTTGATAGGGAAAACAGGAAAATTTGCCATTGTTCTTGAACTGCTCCAACACATCTGGGAAATTTTAACACTTCACCGCATTAGTAAAACACTCAAAACTACCGTACACAACATTGAAAAACTCTAGACTATATAATGAAACGATTTATTTTTTATTTTTTTAATTCTTAGTCGAATAATCCTATCGAGTATTAATTAATCTCCTGAAAATCATGTCTTACGTACCAGGTGTAACATTGTATCCGTGCAATCTTAGGAACCTGAACGCCATGGATGTGTCATCAACATCAGAAAATCTTGCCAATCTTCCACCAAAGATTCCGTCTTCGGACCAAAATCTGTAAATAAACAATTTCCAAAATGAATAAACTGTAATACTTGCTTATTTTAATTTCGTTCTTTTGAAGAATCACTTAATTAATCTTAGAATATCCATTTACCAATCAAAGAACAAAACGGTGTCATAGGTGACTTTTTAATTATTATTATTTTTTTCTAGTTTTGAGGTGGCCAGGCCAAGATACCCATAGGTTGTCCCAAAGTGGGTTCAGGTTACGTGCCGATATACTTTTTAGTTATTTTTTTTGAAATACGTAAAATTTATTAGATCAATACGAAGATATTAATGTAAAAATGTAGTACTAAAAGATATGTAATTTTTTATTCAAAGTATTCCATAGGTTGTCCCAAAGTGGGTTCAGGTTACGTGCCGATATACTTTTTAGTTTTTTTTTTTTTTGAAATACGTAAAATTTATTAGGTCAATACGAAGATATTAATGTAAAAATGTATTACTAAAAAATATGTAATTTTTTATTCAAAGTATAGATGAACAATATAGTTTATGTGCGATGATTCTTAAATGCAAGGGTGGACCCAGGAACGTGATTCAATGAGGGCAAAAAAAAATTATGTAAAAATTACGGGTTAAAAACTTAAAATTATTGTAGACCAATAAATAAATAATATACCTTGAAAATCTATAAGAACATTACTGCATATTTTTCAAGTTTTCAAAGAAAAATAAAATCATAAATACGTCAAATCAATAATGTTTTGTTCGTAGACAAAGAAAGTTTTGTTTTTAGGCAAGGTATAGGTTACAATGAAATTTTTGTTAGACTTATTTTCTTTTAAGTTAATGCTTGCTCATTTTTTGAGTTGAACTTTTAAAAAAAGAATATTACTTGTCAAAAGGACCAACATGGAGTTTATTGTCATTTTCCCACCAAGATCGGTTTACCCATAGGTTGTCCCAAAGTGGGTTCGGGTTACGTGCCAATATACTTTTTAATTTTAATTTTTTTGAAATACGTAAAATTTATTAGGTCAATACAGTACAAAGTTATTAATGTAAAAATGTAGTACTAAAAAATATGTAATTTTTTATTCAAAGTATAGATGCAACAATATAGTTTATGTACGATGATTCTTAATGCGGGGGTGGAACCAGGAACGTGATTCAATGGGGGGCAAAACAAAATTATGGACTAAAAAATTATAAGGACTACTTTGTAAATGTCAAAAATTAAGGGTCCAGTGGGGATCACACATTTGAGAATTTTTTTATTCACGTGGATTCCGTGCGCACGTGAGAGGGTGTAACATTTTCGGTACACCATTTTTTATACAAATAGAATTTCCCTACATTCTATTACAATTTTTAAGTTGCAAAATTGTTAGAACTTAAAATGAATAAAAAATTAATTTTTAGTCCCGTCCGTCTTGACACCTCTAGACCCAGGAACGTGATTCAATGGGGGCAAAACAAAATTATGGGTTAAAAACTTAAAATTATGGACTAAAAAAATTATAAGGACTACTTTGTAAATGTCAAAAATTAAGGGTCCAGTGGGATCACACATTTGAGAGTTTTTTATTCACGTGGATCCCGTGCGCATGTGAGAGGGTGTAACATTTTCGGTACACCATTTTTGATACAAATAGAATTTCCCTACATTCTATTACAATTTTGAAGTTGCAAAATTGTTAGAACTTCAAATGAATAAAAAATTAATTTTTAGCAGCAATATTAACAATGAACACAAAATTTTATTTTAATTAATTGTTTTTAATTATTGAACAAAAATTATTAATTAGAAGATATCAATTGAAAAAGATAAAGAGTACTTGCATTTGACTGTTATCCAGGCTATGGCCCCTCTCTCCGCGTGTTTTGATTTTTCTTCAGTATTCTCTTTAGGCGGCCAAAATCCCCCTCTAGAAATTTCCTCGACTACTTGTCTCACTGCCTCAATTTTTCTTTTTTTTTCAGAAAATTACAAATAGACTTTCTAATTTGTAAAGTTCTCACGTCGGTCGTCGAAAGCTTTACAAGATTAGATGTAAAAGACGTATTCATATTTTTAATATTATTTTAATTATTGTAGACCAATAAATAATTAGTATACCTTGAAAATCCATTACTGCATATTTTTCAAGTTTTCAAAGAAAAAATAATTATAAAATCATAAATACGTCAAATCAATAATGTTTTGTTAGTAGACAAAGAAAGTTTTGTTTTTAGGCAAGGTATAGGTTACAATGAAAATTTTGTTAAGACTTATTTTCTTTTAAGTCTATCCACTCAAATTAATATGGATCAAGGCATAATAGTGACAAAGAAACATTAAACATTCCAAACATAAAAAATATATTTACGCTTAACTATGTAACCTTTTCTTGCATGCATAACTTCCTTATGTTAACCTCAACAAGCTAATAAAAATAAAATAAAATAAAATTCATAAATAGGAGTAAAATAAATTTATATAATTACCTGTAGACATGATCTAAACAACCCTTGATTTGAGCAGTGAATAAACGAGAAATTCCTAGCCGTTTTAATCGATCAATGGCCCAGAGTCGTGCAAACAAATCAGATGGGTACGCAGCAGGTGCTAAAGAGTGAAATATAGTCATTGTGACAGCATGAAGGCTTTAGTAATTTCAACATAAAATATGTATAGTAAATTTATTTTTTCTCGAAAAATCAATGGAGCTTTAAAGATTTTACCTCCTCCTTGAAACTCCTTAACGATATCGTCCAAATATCTGAAGCATTTTTCATCTTTAGTCTCTATAAGTGCAAATGCAGTGGAGGCTGGAGATGTTAAGAAGGACCCTAATGGTGTCTGCAACTTCAAAAGTTTTTCCCATTCCAATTCCAAATCTTGTAATCCTTCCAGACTATACAGTAGAGACGTTGGTACATTGTGCAGAAGGTCCTTTGGAATCCTGTCCAATAGATGAATTATGTTAACCAAAGATTAAAAACACTTCTTGAAGTAACTGACTACCATGGAGACATCCTCACTTGTAAAAAGTTATAAAAATCTAGTTGTAGCTAAAAGCAAAATATCTAGTTTCAATTTTCCCTCTCTTTTCTTATTTCTTCATTACTATTTCCCCATATTTTTAATTAAGATGGAGCACTGTTTTAATTTAAAAGAATATCATCATCAAATTTAAAAGAAGCATAGAAATGTGAAGTATAATTTATTTTTCTAAAATATCTATCTATCCATCTATATATATATATATATATAGAGAGAGAGAGAGACAGAGACAGAGACAAAGACAGAGAGAGAGAGATCTATATATTTGTTTTTCTGATACTATTGTCTTGTTTCTTATACGAACATTTAACGAGTGAACACGCGAATATCTTATAATATAATTAAAATGTTCAAGGAGAAAAAATGTGATCATTTGATATGTTAAACACCTTATTCCATGTATTTAGAAAAATAAAAATTTATATATTATAACGTTGTTAAATAATAAAACACAAAAATGAGGAAAATAAATAGTTTCAAAATTAACATAGTGATAAATTTGTAAAATAGAAATAAATATATGTTTTTTCTACTTTGCAGTAGTTTATAAAAACGAGATAAGTGTCAGTGTATATTCAGTCACTTATGGAGTGCTTGACTTTGATCTTACTTGTCAGTGTATAAAAATTTACCTTTCGTATACATTAATTTGATGAAGAAACTTTACCTTCTCAACTTCCTGTCTCTTGCTGCATAAATCTCCTTCATGACAGGAGCATCATAAGGAATGTTGTCAATGCCCAAGTTTTGGGCTTTTTGGAGAAGCGCCGGAACTACAACTTCAAATCCGCAGGGCATATGATCCTCATTTTCATCTTGAAGTTTATGTATGTTTTCCCTGATAAATGTTATTCCTAAAACAAAAACACGATGTTGTGTCAAGTATATGTACTTCTTTGATCACTTCCCTTTAATGTGGTTAGTACCTTCGTTGACGAATTTGTCTCCGCTTTAATATTTTAAGATTCGAGTTAAATTGTTTTAAAATCATGTTACAGTGACATAGCCCTCGATATAATGGTTGACAAAATGTCACGTAACGCTTCATCATTTGAATGTTTTAAACACGGTCAGTTTTTTTCATTCAATCACATATTGCCAATACCCATTATTTCACTCTATTTGTCAACCACTTTCTAGCAAAGTCGCATAACCCATTGTTTTAATATAGCATTGAATTAAGTAGATAGATTTGTCATCACTCTTTTATGTATATTATGCACGTGTCAAGTTTTTAAATTAAAAATGAGTATGTTAAAGAAAATAATTTAATAAGAGACACTTCCAAACCTTTTTCACACTTGTCATGATGAACGTTCCATGTTCTTAGTGCAACTACACATGCTATAGTGTTGAGGAGACGATCATATGCTAAGAATACGAGCTCATCACCCCATGAACCGTCAGGGAGTTTAGTTTCAAAATTAACATAGTGATAAATTTGTAAAATAGAAATAAATATATGTTTTTTCTACTTTCAGTAGTTTATAAAAACGAGATAAGTGTCAGTGTATATTCAGTCACTTATGGAGTGCTTGACTTTGACCTTACTTGTGTGTAAAAATTTACCTTTCGAATACATTAATTTGATGAAGAAACTTTACCTTCTCAACTTCCTGTCTCTTGCTGCATATATCTCCTTCATGACAGGAGCATCATAAGGAATGTTGTCAATGCCCAAGTTTTGGGCTTTTTGGAGAAGCGCCGGAACTACAACTTCAAATCCGCAGGGCATATGATCCTCATTTTCATCTTGAAGTTTATGTATGTTTTCCCTGATAAATGTTATTCCTAAAACAAAAACACGATGTTGTGTCAAGTATATGTACTTCTTTGATCACTTCCCTTTAATGTGGTTAGTACCTTCGTTGACGAATTTGTCTCCGCTTTAATATTTTAAGATTCGAGTTAAATTGTTTTAAAATCATGTTACAGTGACATAACCCTCGATATAATGGTTGACAAAGTGTCACGTAACGCTTCATCATTTGAATGTTTTAAACACGGTCAGTTTTTTTCATTCAATCACATAATGTCAATACCCATTATATCACTCTATTTGTCAACCACTTTCTAGCAAAGTCGCATAACCCATTGTTTTAATATAGCATTGAATTAAGTAGATAGATTTGTCGTCACTCTTTTATGTATATTATGCACATGTCAAGTGTTTAAATTAAAAATGAGTATGTTAAAGAAAATAATATTTTTCCCTTAATAAGAGACACTTTCAAACCTTTTTCACACTTGTCATGATGAACGTTCCATGTTCTTAGTGCAACTACACATGCTATAGTGTTGAGGAGACGATCATATGCTAAGAATACGAGCTCGTCACCCCATGAACCGTCAGGGAGTTGATGATCAGCAATCCATCGAAGACTATGGGGAAACTGGGGCATATCATCTCCGTTAAGAGCCGGAACAAGAGCAACCCAGGCTGTGTCATAGGGCGAGACATTTGTTCGTCCTTCTCCTATGGTATCCAACATTTCTCTAATATATTCAATTTGATCTTGTATCACATTTACCTTTACAAGAAACACATTAAATCATAAATGCATCCAAATGGTGGACCTTTTTCTTTTGGGAAAAAAAAAAACAATTAAAATTTAAAGCCACGATGAATGAAAACTAAAAGTTTTATGGATTAAATTGGTTGCACAGGGTCAATGACAGGGGCTATTTTCAGTTGCTGAAATGACAGTTTATTGTAAGTTTTTTCTTTTATTTATCTTTTAAACTGTCAATGAAATTTTGCCAAGTGTATATTTGTATAAAACCCTGATTGACCCTGTTCCTATAGCAGATATGAAGTTTTATATCATAACACCTTCGGGGCTTCCTCTTCCAAGTCATCTTTCTCTTGTACTTGTGACGGATATGTTACTCTATCTACAATCACGGGAGAGAATTTAGGTGACGTTTAGATAAAAAAATATATATATATATATTGGCTTCTCTTTTCAAATAACTATTCATCTCAAAGTATATACACGTACCTCGACTTGCAACATTGGGCAAGTGTTTACCATGGATATTATGATTCAAGTTAAGTACTTGAATATCATTAGTCCCAAACGGTAAATGCCCTACATCATTTATTCAAAAGTATCAGTTAAAGAGTTAAATAAGTGGCATACGTTTGAGATGGAAATAACGAAAAAATAATAGAAATTTTATAAGTTTTCGGTTTCACAAAAATAATGACAAGATCAAATATTTGGAGTTTCAAATATCTATCAATGGAAAGATTGTACGCTAACTACACAATCAAATAAATCAAAGATTCATCATATGACTCTGGAAAACCAATCGTTTATGCGCAAAAGCTACATCAACAATGACTGATCCTTGTTGAAGAAAAGTGTATTAGAAATGAGAATCAAAAGCTAAACAACCATTTATTCTCGATTGAAAAGAATAAGAATAATGAATAGAAAGTTTTACTAGTGAAGTGTTGCAGCGATGGAGCTTTTTGTATTGGGGGCAACAACTTTTTACGAGGAACAGGTGAAGAATAGGCAAGTTGGGGACGAACAAGAGCATGCATTTTGTATAATGTATTGTGCCTGAAGAAGGAAAGATAAGAACCGGGGTTCAGAATTTCCCTTATATATAATGCACGAGATGACTTTGGATTATTTTATTTGACTGTTATATCTGGTTGATTTGTTCGTTCAATGTCTTGCGGAAGTACAAAACAATTCTTAGAATACGTCTATTGGACTATTCAAATTTAATGCACTAAATTATTAGGAGTAGAAGAGCCGCCGTTGAAATCCATGCCCTCCAGATAAGAACAGGCCAATTCATTGATGTGATAATGAGGGTGTTCTACCCCGCAGCAAAGGTGAATGCGATACACTTTGGACGGTTTGTAATAAATTTTCAAACCAAACTACTTAAAGCAATTTAAAATTTTTCCAAACAAAATCGAACCACTTCAATTTCTAAACTAAACCAAACAAAACAACATTTTTAGGTTTAGTTTGATTTAAAAACATGATTTAAATAAGTTAAATTATAAATATTAGTATCAGTTCTAATCATCAATGCAATAACACGATAGAAACAGTTTATGTGATTAGTTGATGGAAATTATGCAGACATTATGTAATTAGTTGATGAAAATTGTTCATTATAATACATACAGCAAAGCACCTTTTAGAATAAGTCATATGCTTAGTATTCATTGACACATTATGCGTGTAAATTAAAGTCTTGGCCAATGGGATGTAAATTAAAGAATCAAATCACATGACACATTATGCGTGTAAATTATATATATATATATCAAAGTCTTGGCCAATGGGATGCCTGGTAGTAAAGAATCAAATCACATGCCACATGGGATGCCTGGTAGCTCAAAAGGGTTTCTATTAACTTGTAAAATTATTTTTAGCCCTTTTTTTGTATCCACTATTTTTTATATATATTTTTCTCTTTTTTATTTTCAATCACAAATTCTTTAATAAAATAATATTATACATGAGAGGCGTGTTGATTAAATTTAAATAAATCAAAGTATTTCTTTGTAACCATTTAAATTTATAGATAATGTGGTTCAATTATTTTAAATAATAATACGAAAATTCAAACAGTCCATGAATTTAAAAATAATAATAAAAATAAAAATTGACCAAATGCCCACCTTGCATTAGACTGTGCTTTAAAAAAATAAATAAAGCGTCTTATTCTATCAATTTCTTGAATGGTACAAATATAAACACGATTAGTCAAGGCAAACATTTAAGTAATCATGAAGTATTTCAAAGTGGAAAATTAAAATAATCTTCCCATGACTATTCAATACAATTACCCAATAGTCTAGGATCTTGTCGAAATATTGGTTCAACAAGTTATCACGGTATTTAGTTGAATATTGTTTGTAGATGACATTTTTATATTATTATCTATTGGGAAAAAATGGGTCCTTTGACTTCAAATACCGTTTTAGTCAATATTAGTAAATTAAAGTAAATCACATGAAGTACAGGAATCCATTTTTAAAGAACACCTCAAAAAATGAGACTCAAACAACCCCAAATCATTCACTTGAATTATCATTTTGTCTCATTTTCATGGAAAGTTGCTTGAATGTGACACTACTTCTTGTCCCATCTCTTTTGCTAAATTTAAGAAAAGTTTGAGTTACGAGAATCCATTTTTGAATAGCATCTATTTTTAAATTGTCTTATCGTCAAGTTTATTGTGAAATTGAAATCGTCTCATGTCATTTTGAAGAGAAAACTATTGTTATTAATTGATGGAATTTGCTACATATATATCAAGGATTACATAATGTACACATGACAAATTTCTACCAGCTAATTACATAATGTCACTTGTACATTATATAGCCTTTGATATAACATTTAATGTACAAATAGAATAATCATTAATGGAGAACGTCCACATTATAATTTGCATACACATGTCATCCAATGAATAAAAATGGATCATCATTGCATAGGATACCTACTATAGAAAGCCCTTGTATTGGTGGGGATTAAAATCAGATTTTTAGTATATTTTGATAAAAGATGATGAAATATGTGATTAAAAAGTTGTGAATCTTATGAAATATGTAATTAAAATTAATTATAAGAAACCAACCACTGACATGTAACCTTGTCCAAGGATTGGTCAATAAAAAATTGTCTAGATTTTACCAAGATTTTAAAGAATAATGATCATTGGACAAGTTCAGAGACGGGGATAGAGGGATAAGGAGATGTGACACATAATAATTGGGTATTGTATTTTTATTTTTTTAAAATATCCAATCATGCGTCGACACATGTCCCTCCTATTTTTGAACTTGTCTTTGAGCATGTTTGTGTGGCACAATTGATTTTAATATATAAGATAATGATTTCGAAATTATTGGGGGCATAAAAGCATAACTTAAGCCGACAAATTTCGTTGTTTTCATTAGTAGTGACAAATGAGTCGAGCGGCTCGTCGGTCTCGCGAATAGCTCGTGGGCACGTTCGGCTCGTGGGCTTGTAAAAAATCTAAAGGAAAAAGTAAAAAAATGAAAAAATTTTAAAAAAAGGAAAAGAAAAAAAACACAAGCTCATGGGCTCAGCTCGTGCTCAAACGAGCTTGAGCTCGGCTTGTCAATTTGACGAGCCGAGCTCATGTGTAGTTGGGCCGAGCCAAGCCCACCACTAGTTTTCATATTGACATCTAGTGGCAAGATAATATTGGACAATTTAAAAAAATAAACAGTTTTTCACAAATCAAATCTTGTTAACTTAGATGATATCAAAACTGATGTACACCTTTAATGTACAAATGAGTTAACTCCAAATTTCATTGTTTTCATATTGACATCTAGTGGCTAAGAAGGGGTCCTCTGAATTCAATGTCTTGAGTTGCTATATTTATATTCAAAATTTTGCAAATATATTATTCCACGTGATATACATTGTCTTTTACTGGATAAAATAAAAAGGTTATCACTCATCATTTGACTTTAAATATTGCTCTCGTCATTATTTGACTTCAAAGTTCAAATGCTGCTAAGTCACTTTGTATGCTTATATTCCAAATTTTGCAAATATAATATTGCAAGGGATAAATTTACATATTTGACTTCATTATTTGCATTTTTGCAAATGTAAGTGAAATCATGTATTCAATGCGAGCTGTAAATTACTATTATCTCCTTTGGCTACCAAAGGCATCACCACGCTGTGAACATTTTTTTTTTTTTTTTTTTTGTCAACTCCGAGTTTGCGATATTTGACATCTTTGGCTTTTATTTNAGACCAATTGCTGCTTTATAAAACATTTTCGTTAATCTGACTTCAAAGGTCAAATTCTACTTAGTCATTTTTTGAAGGCTTGCATTCAAATTTTTGCAAATATATTATTTGAAGTGATAAATTTGCCAATATAGTAAAATGTGCAGCCCACTTTAGTCAGAATATTCTAGGAAACAATATTAAGCCCATAATTGACAGACCTTAAAAATTCAAATTTGAATCAATCTCTGTCGGATGATGAACTCAAAATTCACTTTCATGAATTGTACACTCGCGGTGGTTTTATTTCATATTTTCGTGAACATGATTCTTGAATTAAGATTTAAAAGTGATCAATAGATGAAATTGTTAAGCCTTAATATCTTGTTCCATATTTAAATTCTAAATCGATTTTTGTGTGCATCCAATTATTTTCAAGTAGTTAGAAAAAAAAAAAAAAATCACAACAAATCATAATTTTTTGTTTGTTTTTGTCAATTAAATTAAGTATTAAAGTATAGTTTTCGTGGGAACGATAATCCGAACTCAAATGTCCGTTATATTTCTTGTTATGATATGTGCACTCGCGTGATATAAAATCGACAATAGCATCCGTACACTTGAGAGAGTGAGCAATGCTACGTGTACAAAATTGGTTTACAAAATTAGGTTACAAAATGAGTGTGGCAAGTATTTCTTCCTAACAATTTAAATTAATAGATAATGTGGTTCAACTATCCAAAATAATAATATGAAAATTCAAACAGTCCAAGAATTTAAAAAAAAATGTCTTTTTCGAACAATTTCTTGAATGTTGATAGTGTAAACATGATTAGTCGAAGCAAACATTTAAGTTATTCACATAGTATTTCAAAGTGGAAAATTAAAGTAATCTTCCCGTGATTATTCAATGCAACTTTGTAACTTTGAACAGTTCAACTAAAAGTTCCCCTGACTATTCAATGAGCTAATATTCTGTGGACAAGACCAAAAATCTTCATATAAATTAGAACCACATAATTTACATTCAACTAAAAGCAACTTTGAATGAGCCATATATTTTTCCACAGAGAGAGAGAGGGCCAATCTTTGTCTTGTAATGAATTCATTGGTCATTGGTCTCAATACAGTGTTTATCTGTTCCAATAAAATAAACTCCATTGCAAGAGTAACTTTGACATAGTACTGCTAAATGTATTGATTATGACTATCTATATGAAACATGTATTGATGACTTATTTGGTTAGGTCGACTGCACAATTATGATAATATTATAAAACAAAAATAATTTGAAATTTTATTTATTGTATTGTTAAAAAAATTCCAATCACGGTACCAAATGTTTAATTTAGTTGCAAACTTTTTTCAAACCTTTCATTTGTACCGCCGTGGGTACCAAACCTTACAAAAATCCGGACTTGGAGCCCAAATGAATGGAAACCGGTTTGTTTGATCGTTAGTTGACCTTAACCATAATTTTGAGTAGGTTTAAAGAGAACAAAATGGTAAATTTCACATTTTTAACATAAAACACAATAAAATACATTATTTAGTAAAAGACAAAAAAACATAAATCAAAACAAATACCACCACCACCATCCCCTTCTTCCACGAATCCCTTTACCTCAAAATCGCCACCTACCCAGTGCTAACGCCACCGCCACATCAGCCACCATCGATTGTGCCAATGGAGACTTCATATTCTCTTTCAACCTCATAATCCCATCCCAAATCTAAAAATTTTTAATTCGTCTCTCAACCACACAATCGATCCAATCCTAAACTTAGAATTTTTCAA